ACTTCTGCATGTCTTTGGAATCTAATACAGTCCAGTGCACACAGTAGCTGCTCAGTAAGTGTTTTTGGATTGATCATTCTTATTTTTAGGTTTCACATATAGTATACATCTCTATACACAAAAATCAACATGTAAAATTGATATTAGATCATTTACAATCAAACAATTACTAAATTTAACAAACATTTGCATATCTCCCATGTGCAAAGGCATGATGAAGGCTATAAAGTCAGAATGCAGACATTTAAATGAGGTGTGATAAGCTCTATACCACATAAAATTAGGTGGAAAAAAATGAGTTTACAGAAATGAATATTTACCATTTCAGAGAAGCGAAGTGTTAGGGTGGAGTAACAGGCATGATTAGAAATATCAGTAGCTTCCAGAGGTAGTAATCACTGGGCTAGGCCTTGAGGAGCTGACAGGATTTAAATGGGTGGAGAAGGGAGAGGGGGTGTTCCTGCCGTCCGTGCAGGGCGAGGAACCAGGGGTGACGAAGATAAGCATGAACTAACATGGGGAATGAAGACACAAGCCCCTGAACGAACACAGGGATGTGATGAAAAGAACCGCACGACTGAGGTTAGTTTCCTACTGAGAAGTGATACAAAATCAGCGGTAGAGATCTTTAAAACTCAAGGGATTTAGACTTGTCACTGAAACAAGAGGGAGTTTTTGAAGGATTTTGGGGGAAAAGTAGGGATTAAAATGAAGAGGATTAACGTGGCATGTTGTACAGAAAGCATGGGGGTGGTACAGAGCCGAGGGCAGAGAAACCCAGCTTAACACACTTTCTAGAACTTTCATACCTCTTTAGCATTGGTTATGTAACTTTTCTTTTAGATAATCTATGCATTTAGAATCATTATTTTTTATTTTTCATGCTTTTTTAAGATTACAGTATTTTATTCATTAAAAATGTTACTGGTTAAAAAAAAAGTATAAGCAAACAGAAGCTGCATTCTATTCTTCATGGACTAGAAACAGAATGGCTTTAGTGTGGTTTATTTCTTTGAATTTTAAGATTTTTTAATTCTTTTTGTAATTTTAAGTGTTTGTACTAAACATTAAAATAATGATTATATAGATAATTTCATACATCTCAATTTTGAGATTTAGATTTTGTTATTATGAATATAATATTCATAATATAAATTCAATATTCATCAGAAAGTCATTGTCATTCTGAATTATTTTGGTTTACGTATTGCTACATTTTAAGATGACTCTATTACTATAGAAAAAGACTTTCCCCCCATTTTTCTCACATGTAAATTGAAAGTCAATGGAAAATATTTGACTGAAATTTGCTTTTATGTATATAAGGTGATGTATGATGCACATGTACTTTGGAATACTGTAAATCTAGTATTCTACTAGTCATATATTCGTATTTTTAACAGAACTTTTACCAACTAGATTAACTTGATTATATGCACATTAGGAGTATTCTAGAAGTTGTTTTCATCTACCAATTTTCCATTTCCTTTCATCATTATTAAGTAAACTACATTCAATTTAGAAAAATAAAGGCATTTCCCTTTATTCTGTGCTTTGGTTTGCCTTCTCATTCAATGAACATTTGTTTATTTGACTATACCCTTGGGAATGGCATCTTACGTGCTGGGATGCAAAGATGATTCCTAATAAGATCTCTTCAAGGAGGCTGTTTTCAGGGGCTGGGGGTGGGGAGCCTTGTAATAAATGAGATAAAATTAAATGAGATGAAATGTTACCCAGTTCCTCACAGGGCTCCAAACAGAATATGGTAAGATAGACAATCATAGGGTATAGGCAGGGAGGAAAGAAAAGGACACAGAGAAGGTGACACTTGAATCAAGTTTTAAAAGATGAGAAAATTTGGAGATGAGAAGTTTGGGATAAAATGGAATTCCTGACAGAGTTAGTGATGAAAGTCTCTTGAATTGTCTAACTGGTATACTAGCAGCATTTTGCCCAGGCTGGACTCAACTATGGACAAAAATGGAAAGGAAGGTTTTCAGAATCAAAGAAAATGTGCTTTTCTTTAATAACACAGTGCCTGAAAGTGATGATGCTAGCTTATAAATGAGCATTATGAGGTATGTTTTGAGGTACATTGTGAAGAAACACTCAGTAGCGAATTACACGACTCCTGCATCCTCTGGCCTTTAGGGAGTTCAGATGGCATTATCTTCCTTTTGCCCTCTCTCATCCAGTTATGCTTCTAGTTTATGAACTCTTTCTTAGAAATAATTTTCCTTCTTTCCATATTCAACCTCAGATGAAGCTACTTGAGAGCGAGTCCTAGCACTGAGTGTTGATAACAGTCTGCAACTAGAAATTGGAACCATGCTCATAATTCATAGATTCAAGAGATAGTCCTATATCTGATCAACCTTCAATTTCAATTCCCTATAATTCCTCCAGTTTCTTCCATTTGTAAAAAAATATTATTTGTCTGTTGTAGTCCAAGGACTTTGTTTTATTCCAGGTACTTTGGTGATATTAATGGATAAAATGGACAAAGATCTGTGACCCAAGGAACTTACATTTTAGTAATCCTCCCAATGGCTTGGAGAGATTGTTTCTTTTCTCCTATGTAGACAAAAGATTTATTAAAGTCAGGCTGCTACCTAAAGTAGTGGTTTTTCTTTTTATGGGCTTTGTAGAGACACTGGGGCAAGAAGACATTTTTTATTTCAGGAGAAAAAGAAGCTGGGGATTCTATAAGGATATATCAGTATGATATGGCAAATTTTTTCTAGTTTATCTTGTTAAAAGGTGGAAGTTTGAAGGTACTAAAAATATAGTGGTTTCTGAGACAGATAAGTTGGTGAAGGGAAAAATATTTTAAGACAAATTATTTGAAGCTTTTCTTTCCTTGGGCTTCAGTGAGGAGAGAGAAGGCAGCCACCAAATGACTAATGCATCAATTATAGTGTGGGTATACTGCACACAGGCAGAATGGAAATATTGTAAGAAAGTAGAAACAACTAAATAGGAAAAAATACTGTTATGACATAAAAAATTGTGAGTCCCAGGGTTCTGGCCAAGGTAGAGGCGTAGGGAGGTGCACTTCACTTCCTGGCACAACCAAAAGAAGGACAACAACCAACTTAAAAACAAAAAGCAACCAGAAATGCCAGAAAATCAAGCTGTATGAAAGTCTGACAACCAAGGAGTCAAAGAAAAAACACAGAAACATTCATCCAGACCAGTAGGAGGGGCAGAGACAGGCAGCTGGGGCAGAGAGGATGCATGACAAGGCTGCAGCTGGCAGACCAGGTGGTCCCACATTGGTGTGCAGATAAACCGGGAGGAACAAAGGAGGAGCTAGACAGACCACACACCTAGGGTTCCAGCACCCAGAAATAAAGCCTCAAAACCTCTGACTGAAAGAAACCTGTGGCTGTTGCTGCTGGGGAGGGGAGGGAACTCCCAGCCTCTTAGGAGAGACTGTTAGAGAGACCCCTGGGGTCCTAGAACATACACAAGCCCACCCACCTGGGAATTAGCATCTGAAAGGGCACAAACCGCTTGTGGGACTCAAGGGAAGTGAGGGGAAGTGGGGCAAGAGCCAAGCAAGTGGCATTGTTCCCTCTCTGACCCTCCTCCACACACAGCCCCACAGTGCAGCCACATGGGTTGCCCCGCCCTGGCGAATACCTAAGGCTCTGCCCCTTACTATGTAACAGGTGCACCAAGACAAAGAAATATGGCCCAAATGAGAGAACAGATCAAAACTCTAGAAAAAGAACTAAGCGATGAGGAGATAGCCAACCTATCAGATGCAAAGTTCAAAACACTGGTAATAAGGATGCTCACAGAAATGATTGAATATGGTCTCAAAATAAAGAAAGAAATGAAGACTATACAAAGTGAAATAAAGGAAAATATACAGGGAACCAACAGTGAAGTGAAGGGGACTGGGACTCAAATCAATAATTTGGAACAAAAAGAAGAAATAAACATCCAATCAGAACAGAATGAAGAAACAAAATTTTTTTTTAAAATGAGGAAAGGCTAAGGAACCTCTGAGACAACTTTAAACATTTCAACATCCGAATCAAAGGGGTGGCAGGAGGAGAAGAGGAAGAGCAAGAAATTGAAAACTTATTTGAAAATATAATGGAGAACTTCCCCAATCTGGGGAAGGAACTAGATTTCTAGGAAGTCCAGGAAGCTCAGAGAGTCCCAAAGAAGTTGGATCCAAGAAAAAAACACACCAAGGCATGTCATAATTATACTAGCCAAGATTAAAGATAAGGAGAGAATCTTAAAAGCAGCAGGAGAAAAGGAGACATTACTCACAAAGGAATTTCCTTAAGACTATCAGCTGATTTCTCAAAAGAAATCTTACAGGTAAGAAGGGGCTAGAAAGAAGTATTAAAAGTCATGAAAGGCTAGGACTTACATCTAAGATTACTTTATCTAGCAAAGCTTTCATTTAGAATGGAAGGGCAAATAAAGTGCTTCCCAGATAAGATCAAGTTCAAGGAGTTCATCATCACCAAGCCCTTATTATATGAAATGTTGAAGGGACTTACCCAAGAAAAAGAAGATGATCAAAAATATGAACAGTAAAATGACAACAAACTCACAACTATCAACAACTGAACCTAAAAAACAAAACTAAGCAAATAACTAGAACAGGAACAGAACCACAGAAATGGAGATCACATGGAGGGTTATCAGCAGGGAGTGTGGGGGGCTGGACAAGGAGGAAGAATAGGGAAAAAGGTACAGGGCATAAGAAACATAACTGGTAGGCACAAAATAGACAGGAGGAGGTTAAGAATAGTATGGGAAATGTAGAAGCCAAAGAACTCACATGTACGACCCATGGACATGAACTAAGATGGGGGGTCCTGGAGGGAGAGTGGGTGCAGGGGGGTCCTGGAGGGTGGGGGAGAAAGGGGGGGGATTGGACAACTGTAATAGCATAATCAATAAAATATACTTAAAAACTGATGTATTGTGAAACAGAGTGTTTTTAGTTTTATTTTTTGATTTTACAGATGCTGTACTTACTCCCTCAGGGAAAAACCCATCTCTGCTGACAAATGTGAATTTAGACAAGAAATCAGACAGTACCATTACAAAGACTGTAACAGAAAAGCCTTTGCAAATGCCTCCAGAAAAGTGTTCAGCTGCAAAAAGTTTTGAAGCCTTGACAAGTTTACCAGCATTTTGGTCATCGAGCAAAGAAGAGTGTATCAGCCCAAATTTAAGAATATCCAAGTCAGATTCTACTTTCTACAACCAGGCCTCTGTAGAGACACTCTATGTCTCTCCCTCATTCAAAATATTTGACCCAGTGAAGGAGACTGTCATCAATAAGGACTCTCAGAAACCAACACAACCCAGCATCGCTCAGGTGGACGATGAAAACCTTAAGACCTTAATGACATGGGGTAAGTCTTAAAAACAAAACAAACAAAAAACCCAACATGAACAAAAAAATTCTCATTTGAAGCACTCTTCTTTTACTTGTTTCTACTTTCTTTCCCCCTCTTTTGTTCCCTCCTTTCACTGCCCTTCCAGTGGTATTAACATGTACATGTTATAGGGGTACTTCTCACCCCCTCACCTAACCTTCCAAATCTCCTCTGGTGGACTCCAGAAGTACCCGAGAATTTCTCATTAATTCTCAGGAACAAGTAAGCTTTTATTCTTCCAGAAAGAGCATCCCAGCCCAAGGGATAACATGGAGTTGTGACTGAGCAAAGAAATTCTGTGGTGCTCCAACTTATCCTCTGTAGGACATCCAGAATGTCCTGCTGACGCATACTGCCCACCTAAACGGGGCACAGCTCGCTGTGTTCCTAAAGCTCCACTAGCTTTCCAGGTCCTGTGCGGTCTAGCTCCTGCCCCTCAGCAGGCTGATGTTCTTTCCATCTGTCAAAGAGACCGTGTTGCTTCAGCACCTCTAGACTCTTGTTCCCTCCAACTTCTAATCCACCGGATTAGAAGGCTGTTCTCACTCGTCCTTTGAGGTCAGCTCAAACATCACTGCAAGATTTTCTGACCCCTCGATTACTCCCAGCCTCCCCTCCCAACCGCGTGATATCTTAGCATCCTATCATTATCCTTCCTAGCACTCACTGTCACTCTAATCAAATAGAACTACATATGCATTAAGTTTTTAATGTCTTTCCCCCAAACTGGAATGTCATCTCTATGAGGGAAAGGACCCTGCACACCCTGTTATTATTATATCCTCATTACCAACCACAGTGCCTTGCACTTAGGGGGCACTCCTTTAACAAGCAAACTAAAAGCAGCTTTGTAGAAAAGGAATTGAAAATTATGTGAAAAAGTAATAGAAAAAACACTGGACGATGAAGCCAGGATAGATATGAGGAGCTGTGTGTTCCAGGTTAAGTTTGGACTTTATTTTGAAGACAGTGCAAGTCACTAAAGGTTTTGAGTCAGGTGAGTGGCTTTATAAATGTGTCTTAGAAAATTCCTCGGTCAGGGAGTGTAGAGGATTGATTTGGAGGGGGTGGAACAGGGAGGCAGCGCTACTGTAGGAAAGGAGACTGGGTGAGAGGTAGGAGCCAAGAGAGGACGAGGCGGAAGGAGATGGAGTGTGACCTGGGGAAGGTGGCCCAGAATCCAGAACAGAAAAGGAGCCACCTGGTCCTGCGGGCCTGCAAGGAAGGAGAAAGACCACTTTGGGTGTGAGGGAAGGGTTTCGTGGATCTCAGTAGTCCAGGTGCACTGAGCCCTCAGGCACCATGCACTGTGTACATCTGGGCCTCCGCATCTTACTGTCTGGTGTCGCTGGAGTGATAGCTCGTCTGTGAAGAGCCCGGAAAAGACTCAGAACAGCCACTATGGAGACGGGAGGAGGGAACGGACGAGACGAAGGAGGGTCACTTGCAGCAGTCCTGATTCATGGGCCATTGTGCGTTTCTCCACTAGTGCCGAGCAGCCCAGAGATAGAAATGAAAAAGGTAGATATTTCAGTTCGAATGCGATTAGGACAGGGATTGGCAAACCGCAGCTTCTGGGCCAAATCTGGCCCACTGCCTGTTTTTATAAACAAAGGTTTATTGAAACACGACCACACTAATTAGTTTACATGTTGTCTTTGGCTGCTTTTGTGCTGCAACAGCAGAGTTGAGTCGTTGCTGCAGACCCTGTATGTCCCACAACACCTGAAATGTTTACTCTCTGGTCCTTTGCAGACAGGTGTGTTGACTCCGGAGCTAGCAATCCGCTGTGGGTAAGGCAGAAGAGGCTACTGCAGCAGCGGGGTAGCAAGAAAGTGGTCAAAGGGGTGGATAATGGGATTCTATGCTGGGCAAGGAAGGAGGTGGAGCCAGGCAGGCCCTGGTAGCGGGAGAGAAAACACAGGGATCACTGAATCTGCTGTCTCAGTGAGGCCAAAGTGTAGATATATTAAAAGGAATGAGGGGGTTAGAAGTAATTGAGAAGGAAAGGCATCTTGGCACACAAGATTTCAGAGCGAGGCAGTTCTGAGTGATGACATGGTCTAGTCCAGTGGTGTTGAACTCATTTTTATCGGGGGCCACATCAGCCTTGTGCTTGCCTTCAAAGGGCCAAATGTAATTTCAACTCCTTAACAGTTAAGGAGTAGTTACATTTATACAGTCCTAAAACTATTTCAGCCCTTTGAAGGCAACCACAAGGCTGATGTGGCCCCGTTGAAAATGAGTTTGGCACCCCTGTTCTAGGGAGTGCTCAGAGGAATAGCTGATGGTCATTATGGTTGAGGAATTCAAGAAATTATGGATGAGGTGAGGATGGGTGGCTGGTCTCCATAGACGCCGGCACTACTCGGGATGGAGGGGGATTAAGGAGATGGTACAGCAGCCCCTTTTATGATTTTGCCTTTCAAAGTTCCACTTACCATGGGTCAACTGTGATTAAAAACATTTGGTGAACAATTCCAGAAGCAAACAATTTCATAAACCATCCATAAGTTGTAAATCGCATGTAGGTCTGAGTGGCATGGTGAAATGTCGCACCACCCCCTTCATCCCGCCCAGGACATTGATCGTCCCTTTGTCAAGCTTGTCCACGAAGCGCACACTATCTGCCCATCAGTCACTGAGTAGCTGTCCCGGTGACCCGGCGGACTGTCATGGTGTCTCAGTGCTTGTGCTCACGTCACCCTTATTTCACTCAACAGTGGCCCCAGAGCACAACGGTAGTGATGCTGACAATTAGCATGTGCTGAGGAGAAGCCAGAAAGTGTTTCTTTTAAATGAAAAGATAAAAGTCTGTGACTTAATAAGGAGAGAAAGAATTCATATGCTAAGGTTGCTAAGATCTATGGTAAGAACAAATCTGTGAATTGTGAAGAAGGAAGAAGAATTTTGTGCTAGTTTTGTTGTTGCGGCTCAGACTGCAGAAGTTACGGCTACAGTGGGTGATAACCTCTCAGTTAGGACGGAAAGGGCATTAATTTGTGGGTGGGAGACATGCACAGAAAACGTGCCAACTGACACCATGCGCTGCACCGGACAGCCCTGAGCCCCCACAGCTGCAGCAAGGGTCCTCTGAGACGAGCGGCCCCACTCATGTGACTTGTATTACATTACATTGTTATAACAGTTCCATTTTATTACTGTCGTCGATGTATTACCACATCTAATTTATACACTGAACTTTATCATAAGTATGTATGCATAGAAAAAACAATAAAATTGGCCCTTGAACATCACGGGGACTGGGGGCACCAACACCCACCCGAGCAGCTGAAAATCTGCACTTAACTTTAGACCCTCCCAAAACTTAACTACTAACAGCCTGCTGCTGACTGGAAGGCTTACTGACAAGGAAACAGTCATTTCACATGTATTTTGTATGTTAAATGTAGTGTATGAGGTCTGTCCAGAAGGTATCCAGCCATGTACTATGAAAAATAGACACATTTATTGAAGAAGATACAAGATACAAGAAACAGTGTATGTAGGACAATGATGTCTTAGTCCCTTTCAAAGCAGGTGCCTGGGGACCTCGCATAGGTCCCAAGCACCATCAGCTGCCTGGCTGTATTTTCCTGAATCTCATCGATGGTCTGAAATCTCTTCCCTTTCAAAGGTGATTTTAGTTTTGGGAAAAACCAGAAGTCACAGAGCAGCAACTCTGGGCTGTAGGGGAGCTGAGTAACCTGGGTGATTTGATGTTTTGCCAAAAACCTCTGCACAAAATGTGATGCATGAGTCGGCACATTGTTGTGATGAAGCTGCCAATCACCAGTTGCCCATAGCTGCGGCCTTCTGGATCATTGAAATAATTTCCGAGGAAGAGTGTTCGAGCTTAATGCAAAATTTGATGCAGAATTTTTGCTCTACTTGCTCAGTCATTTTGAATGCAAGGGCCACACAGTCCACATGCTCAGTCAACAATGTCTACTGCCTGCCCCTGACTACTGCTGTGAAGTCGTCATAGTTCACACATGCATATTCCAGTCCACTCTCCTTGGCTGCCAGGTTACATGGATGTCATGCAAACCGGTCTTGTTATATTAACAATGGCTGGACTTTTTCCAGACAGACCTCATGTATTATATTCTTACAATAAAATGAGCTAGAGAAAAGAAAACATTATTGAGAAGCTCAAAAGGAAGAGAAACATTTACAGTATTTATTGAAAAAATGTTGACTATAAGTAGATCAGCACAGATCAAGGGTCAGCTATAAATATAGGTCTTGGAATGTATCCCCTGAGGACAAGGGGGGACTACTGTATCTATCCTCTGGCTTTAAGAAGTATTTGTCTACAGGAAATGTCTTTTTAGAGAATGAGCTGGGCAAGTTAAAAAATACTTGCACACTCTTATTTTAGCAGACCTTAAACATCAGGGAGGCTTTCGAAAGCAGCTGCCTCACAGACCTTAATATTTTCACTGAGTGAGTGGGATGGATTTTCTATAGCAGCCTGTTGACCTTTTAATACTAAATCATTCTGCTCTTAGAACAGCCCATTCCTTCTGCTCCTCCGTTTGAATTTTGTCATTTACCTGTAGCTCAAACTATTCTTTTAGGTCATTAGATATTTCATCATGCATACTGAAAAGGAAGACAAAAGGGCTAGTAGATTCGTAGACGTCAGATCTGGTGGCAGGCAGCTTTTCCCACTCTCCGAGCCCCGGTCGGTGTGCTGGACGGCCCTGGCCTGCACTTTCCATTTGTTTGGTGGAAAGAAAACTGCACTTTCTCGTGTTGGGATAATGGGGAGATTCTCCCTGGCTTCATTCTTTGTTTCTGTTTCTCATTGGTTCCTACTCTGGTTTTCTGTAGTCGTGATTATGTATTTCTCAGTTCATCTTTGCTAGGAAGAGAGACCAAACACCACACGCAAACACATACACACACACACACACACACACACACACACACTCAGGACCCAGTAAGCAGCCCTTTTCCCTTTGTCTATA